AGTTGCCGCCATGTGATTGGCTGATTAGAAATTAAGTGTTAACGAGCAGTTGGACAGGTGTACCTAATAAAGTGGCCGGTGAGTGTATGATTTCAATGAACTGTCTCAAATATTATCCTAAATTTTTTTTGAAGCACTTTTTTGAGCAACCCGGGAAAAAAAAACAGATTTTGTGGAAAAACGCCTTAAAATGTTGAGATTTTCCCTATGAGCTATCAATGCTTTTGTTTCTTTCCAGCTGGGAAATCTCAATATTCAATTACTATTTGAGGTTTCTTTTTCCAAATGACATAAAAAAATCCTCATTACAATTACATAAAATTAGGATTTGGACCAAATATTTATGTATTATTGTAACCAACAAGACAAATTAAATAATGTCTCTGGATCTACTAATGATATCTGGATGATCTAAGCATCAAAATGTAGCTTTGAAAGTCAGGAATCTGAAAATATGATTAGGTCATTTTGATCAAATTGGACTTAATCCTCATTTCGATGTGATGGGTCACATATATGCCTTAATTTGTCTTGTTGGTTACAATAATACATAAATATTTCGTCTGAATCCTAATTTTGTCATTTTAATGAGGAATTTTTGATGTCCTTATAAAGAGGAAACCTCAAATTATATTTGAATATTGAGATTTCCCAGCTAAAAAAAGAAACAAACTTTGCTAGCTCACAGGGAAAATCTCAAAATATTGAGTTTTTCCACAAAATCAGTTTTTTTGTTGCTACTGCTCAAAGAAGTGCTTCAAAATTTTGTTTTATGATTATATTTCCGACAGTTCATTCAAATGATACATTGATAAGGTCATTATATTTTGACAAAATGCAATTTTTGTTAAAATTTTAGTCAAAACACTGTATTTGCCTGTTTCTCCATATACCACTTTTGGATTTTATCCTTTTTTTTTGATTTGATGGGTCACATATACATAATGTATCGCTCATTTCTCTATGCGATCACTAGATGTCAGCAGCTTCCAATCAAACCAGCAGGCTGGGAGGCTGGAAAAGCCTCAGCTGTGAGTCACCTCCTGTCCTACAACATGAGTCAGAGTTGGCTGCTCATGAAAACAACCTTCATCTCTGAGCAAGTTTTCTTTATTTATTCAGTAAAGATGAGTATGTTTTAGGCCCTGTACACACGTACCCGGATATCAGGAAAACCGAATAGTTTTTTATGCGGTTAGGCCTTTCATCCACACGTGAACTCCGTTTGGTTTAACTAAAAATGAATGATAGCAAAAAACTCAGACCAAAGTGGAGATTTGCCTTTTCTCCTCCTTGGCGTATGCCACCCCCAAACTAACAGAAAATGCCACACCACCTAATCAGAAAGATAGGTCAGCATATTAGAGCATTTTATTTTCATCACCATCAATTATTAATCAATATTCTTAATCTGTATAATTAATTGTGGCTTTTCTTGCAAATTCCTATTAAACTGCTTACAGCATCAAAAAGACAAATTCATGACTGGACATTGATTTTTGAAAGTTGTCCTTTAAAGTTTTTCTCTGATTACATGAGAGTTTTGTTACTATAGATCAACAAGGTAATAATGTATTAAAGAGTATGGTTACTTTGAAGCCAAAAGGTAACAATATGAGGTCATAGATAATAAGTTCATTTTTAATGGTTATTAACCTGGGGAGATAGGATAACTCCCCTTTAACAGTTCCCTTGAGACCTATTGTACAGGTCACTAAATTTCATCTCAGTCACAATAAGAAGTGCACATCCTACGAAGGGAGCGGCTGCCAGAGGACAGTGGTGACTGGCAAATGGAGGCGTCCTGAGCTACTACGCCGACCCAGAGGCCGGGGTTCATGAAGGGAGCAACCACTGAAAGGAGGGTAGCTGGAGACCGAGCTCAAGGCTCCCGCCTGATGACTCCCGGAGGAGACACGCCAGACTCAGCCACACAGGTCACCCCCAGGTGGCTCTAAGTCCGGCCCATCACCTCCAAACCAAGAGAGAGACATCGTCTCCTCTCAAAGACCCATCAGTGTCCTAGTGGGTAAACTTGGGGAGGAGCCACAACAGATTTCACATTATAGTTTAGTTCTAATTCGTTGTGATTTTTTTCTTTTAATTCAGTTAGTTTTAATTAGTTTTTACAGTGGATTTCAAAGTTTTTATTAATTATTACTGCTTTTTTAATGCTTAGTTTCAGTTTAGTTTTCCTTAGTTAAAGTATTATTTTTTTATAGTGTGAAACATTTTTGCCAATAATGCATCGTCCTGCTTGTGGTGTTCCTGTAATTGAAGTAACAGCAGCTATCTGGTCGCCACTGAAAGCAGTCCATTACAACGACTCCTTCCTAATTGCGTAACTCCGTTACCAACAAAGGACTTGTTTTATTACTTTAAGGTTTTATTGCAATAAAAAGGAAAAAAATCTACTCAAACATCTACTTTTATCTTAAAACCTAAAATTCCAGATTACTAAACTGTGGTTAAATAATCTAATGTCATGTCTAGCTTAGAATTTTAAAGGAACAGTTCATACTTTCACGACCACATTTATTCAACGAGAGACTTACCTTACTCAATATTCGAACAATTTCTCCCTCTTTGAGGCTCAGCTCATCCTCGTTCTTTGCCTCGTAAGCAAACGTGACCTTGCAGTATTCTTTAACTGAAGAAACACTGGCAGCTGTAAGAGGCAGAATGCAGTTTATAAGACTTTGGATAGAAACACACAAAAAAAAGTAAAATAGAAGTAAACCACATATTTTTTTTACTTATTTAAACCCTTGTCAGCAAAAGACCAAAAACTTAATTTGTTCTTTAGGTTGAGAGGTTGATGCATTTTATAAAAAGCATGTGACATCAGTCCTCCTATCACAAACGTTTGTTAGAAAAGGTGAAAAACATTACTGCTTTTATTCTGATCTCCGAGTTTAACAATCACTCTGGATGATGACCTTGCAATGAATGAAAATCTAGCCAGAATGTGGATGGTCTTTGAATTATCTTGGTGAGGTTTTCAGGATATTAAGGGCTCACCATTACAACCCATCACATCAACTGATCGATTGACGTGTGGTAGGTTGAGCAGATGTGTGCGCTTGGCCCAAATTTCCATGGTGAGGTTCTGGTGATTTATCCTTACGGTGGTGGTGGAGCGTAGGGGCAGTAATCTGTGATATTGGGTCCACAGATTGGCATGGATAAGGAAAATTTGAAGGACTGGTCAAGTTGCCCTCATGCCTAGGCTATCACTGTGATTGTGACAAAATCATAGAAACAGCTTAGTGAAGATGTGATACTTGTGGTGGTAGTATCATAGTCGTATGGCATGATCTTCCATCTACATCTGAATTTGGTCCAAGAAAAGTCATTCCAGAGTCTTAGGAATGTGGAAAATGGCAACAAAAAACTATTTCGTTGGTACTAACAGCACTGCAGTATCACAAATAACCTTCAGACTGAATTAAGTATAATTATATAGTGCTTGCACAGGCCTTTTGGGGTGCTGGGGGAGACTGGACTGGGGTGATTTTGGTGTCTGAGTGTAGGATGATGGGTGCATGGAGATGTGCTGGGTATCTGAATGTAAATGTGTGTATAAATATTAGTGTGTAGTTGAATGTGATTGCATCTGGATGTGAATATATAACTTGAAATTTAGTATTAGAATAATATTGGATTACCTTATGTATTATTTTATATGTGTATTTTTTTCTTTTCTTCTTCTTTTGTTTGTTTTGTTTTCATAACAAATTGATAAGATTCTGAAAACCACATGAAGTGGTGAATAGGGGTAGGATTAAATAAGTTTTACTTCTTCCTACCCCTTTTCAGACATGTTACTGGGATTTATGTGCTTCGTGTGAGTGTATGTATCTGGGTATGTGTACACAGATAGGTGTGTGCACATCAGGTGTGTATTATTTTATAGGTTTATTTATTTGTGTGTAATTTGTCTAAATTTGTAGATATGTGAAAGGGTATGTTGAGTTATATGGATTCAAGGACTTTGACATGTCTGGAATAAAATCAAATCAAATCAAGTTTTCATCCAAGTTTTAATATGTTCTGTAGGATGTTTAGGGCAGAGATTCTTAACCTACAGTATAGGCCAATTGGGCCGCGTGCGCCACCTAGAGGGCCTCAAAAGAACAACAGTTTTTAACTGTGGGCCACGGGGGGCCGTGGGACCACATTGATTTTGAATAAGGTGCAATACACTTTCTCACCACTAGTAGCAGTAGTGCACCACTCAGATGTTTAACAACCTTTTTTAATATGTAGAAGAAGAAACTTAAGATACCTGCCGAAAATGGAAACTTATTTTTAAATGAAAAGTAGAAGCAAAAGGTAAAGGTAACCCATCAAAAAAGGCCAAAGTTTGTCACTAATATGAAGTACAGCTTCTGTTTCTATCATGCAGTACTTTAAAAGTTCAAAACTTTATCAAATACATTTTCAGATACTGCTATATTTTAATTCGTACTTTATCAGTAGTTTATTTTTAAACATTTTTAATGTATTTTAAAGAAACTTTAAACTTGTCAAAAAGCTGTTGTTGTTGTTTGTCACTAATATGAACAGCAGCTTCTGTATGGGATAAATCTTGTGACAGCAGGAATTGAATTTGAATTATTCAGATTGAATCTGAATGTGCAAAATTTGAAATTGGATGCATTGGTTTGAAAATGAATTCTGTTTCTACCATGCAAAAGTTTAAAAAGGCTATATTTTCATTTGTACTTTATCAAATTTAGTTTTACAGTTTATTTGTTTTTGAAACATTAAACATTTTTAATTTAAATATCTTATGCCCACAATTTTATTTATTGAATTTTCTAATTTTGTTATTCATGTTAAAAAATACATATATATTTGTGTTGATAAGCCTGAGTGGTCTGTTGACTGACTGTTGTATTTGTTCAAATAATTGCTATGGGCAGGTTACAATATAAAAAAATTGTTTGTCATAATCACGTCTTGTGATTATTTGACAGGAGTTTTACTTTTAAAATTTAAGTGTATTTAATTTAGTTATGATGTAAATACAATAAAAATTTAACCAAGATTTTGAATAATTATCATTTTTGATCCGTATGGTAAAGTCTGACTGGGCTTCGTGTCACTTTATGTTCAATAAATTGGGCCCCGAGGTCAAAAAGGTTAAGAAGCCCTGGTTTAGGGGATCGTCCTCCAATGTGAAGATGGCCTAAATGACTTTGTTCAGTACCAGCATCATTTAGAGTGTTTTTTCAGCAGCTACACATCAAACCTGGACAAGCTGTTACAGGTTAGCAGCATATAATCAGTCGCTGAAGTCATTCTGTTAAAGATTTGTTTGAGGGCTGAGAATTTTGCCATTTTCCACTGAGCATCACCTGAGTGACTCTATTCCTAAATACCTTTATAATCATGGGAACGTTTTCATGTAATGATAATTTGTCCCTATCCAGAGGAAACAACTTGACTCTAATGATGTTACTAACCTGCCTTTAAATATTTTAGATTTTATTAGTCTTTACTGTCCCACAGAGGGGAAATTAATTCTCTGTATTTTACCCATTGCACATGTGAACATGTGGGACAAACCGCTCAAATGTTGTTCCGTTGACTCGCTCTTTTCTAAATCTGACCATTTATGTCCCTCCCAATGAAAACATTCTTATCTCTGCCTCCTCCAGCTCCACCTTCTGTCTTTTTGTTAAAACCACAGTGGTCAAACCAACCACAGAGAGTTTTACCATCCTGTAAACCACTGGTTCTTGAACTGCTTGACAAAAATTAAACATAGATCGATCATAAAAAATCCAACCCAGCCTGAGCTTGAAAACATTGTGTCCAAGTCTGATTCAACCTGACTAATGAGCTTTAATTAAGAGGCCTGAGTCCAAAGTAAAACCAACATATTACCAGATTTTTGCAGGTTTAATGCAATCACTAATTTTTTTAGTTTAAAAAGCTTTAAAAAATCTAATTCTTTTATATAATGCTGCCCCTAATTTCATCCATTTCAGCATTTGCAGGGACACACACCTGTGGATGTGTTGCAGAGCAAAGGCTGCAGAGCAGCAGCGTGAGCTTCATGTTGCTGAAAACACTGGTCCGGTCCGAACTGACAGCCGGAGCCGACTGTTAAATTAGAACGACGAGCAGCTTCTAAGAGCTGCTCACGAACATGTACCTGACATCACCGTCTTCTTTCCATCTCCACCCCACGGTTAACCAAAACAAAGGTTTTACCTCCTGCAACTGACATTGTTTAAAAAAAAAACCTGCTGTTGCATTTATCTGCTAAAATGAGTCACGTAGGCTACAGCAGGAGGACAGAGGGGATAAATTATGAAAACGTGTTCCCCGTGACACAAAATTTGAATTAGAGGTCTATAAAAGAATACAAGAAAATATTTTAATTTATTGTGATAGAAAAAAATATGTCAGAATTTACTCCTGTATAATACGACTCCACAACTTTATGGATGATTTTTGGGGTTAAATTTTTCACGTCTGCACTTTCTTTCTTTCTTTCTCTCTTTTTTCCCCCTCTTTCTTTCTCTCTCTTTTCCCCCCTCTTTCTTTCCTCTCTTTTCCCCCCTCTTTCTTTCCTCTCTTCCCCCCCTCTTTCTTTCCTCTCTTTCCTTCCTTTCTCTCTTTCTTCCTTTCTTTCTTTCTCTCTTTTTTCCTTTCTTTCTTTCTCTCTTTTTTTCCTTTCTTTCTCTCTTTCTCTCTTTTTCCTTCTTTCTTTCTTTTTTCCTTCTTTCTTTCTTTCTCTCTTTTTCCTCTGTCTTTCTTTCTCTCTTTCTTTCTCTCTTTTTCCCCTCTCTTTCTCTTTTTTCCCCTCTCTTTCTCTCTTTTTTCCTCTCTCTTTCTTTCTCTCTTTTTCCCCTCTCTTTCTCTCTTTTTTCCCCTCTCTTTCTCTCTTTTTTCCCCTCTCTTTCTCTCTTTTTTCCCCTCTCTCTCTCTCTCTTTTCCTCTCTCTCTCTCTCTCTCTTTTCCTCTCTCTTTCTCTCTTTTTTCCTCTCTCTTTCTCTCTTTTTTCCTCTCTCTTTCTCTCTTTTTTCCTCTCTCTTTCTCTCTTTTTCCCCTTTCTTTCTCTCTTTTTCCTCCTTTCTTTCTCTCTTTTTCCTTTCTTTCTTTCTTTCTCTCTTTTTCCTTTCTTTCTCTCTTTTTCCTTTCTTTCTTTCTTTTTCCTTTCTTTCTTTCTTTTTCCTTTCTTTCTTTCTCTCTTTTTCCTTTCTTTCTTTCTCTCTTTTTCCTTTCTTTCTTTCTCTCTTTTTCTCCTTTCTTTCTCTCTTTCT